GCTTGGGTTTGTGTCTCTCTGAGCCTGAGGCGGTGCAAGCGCAGTTACTTTAATTTCATAGAAAGTGTTTAAAGGGGATATACACTCTAGCATTTAGAATCCTGATTCAGGACTAATGGAGGTTATGCAGTGAATTTTAGTTTATTCCTACACAGTGGTGCTTACTACATACCAGGCCCTGTTCTAAGCACTTTGCATATATTAACTCACTTAATCTCAAGACCTTGGGCACTAATACTCTTAATTCCCTTGTTATTCCTCATCCCATTTTAAAAGATTATTATTATAACCCCATTTTACATGCCCAGTCTGTAGCATAGTGAAGCTAAATGGCCTGCCCCAAATTCCACAGCTGTTAAGGTGCAAAGCCGAGGAATTGATCTGAGGTGGAGAAAAGTGCACTTTGAAGCCTAAAGCCTTACAAAGGAAACCAATGGTTCAGATAAATGCCAGCTTTATTAATAAGCAGTAAATAATGGAAAATAAACTTGACCTATTGAGCTGGCAGAGAGACAGTTGAACCCAGACAGTCTGGTGGCAGAGATCACCCTCTTAGCTGCTACATTGCACTACCTCTTTACATACATGGCAACGTGAAGGCTAAAACAAAGCATCCTGTGCAACTGATTGGAAACATGCAAGCATCCCGAGTTTGGGGACTGTTATATAGTTCTTTGTACCCCCTCAGTGCTGAGCAACCATTGGATACTCTACAATACATATAGATTGATGATAATTTTCTCCAAATATTTATATATATGCATGCAAACAATGCTGGTTCCACTGGGCCTTATCCACAGTGACACTTACATGGCACACAAAGCAATCATTACTAAAGACTCGTGGGTATTACTAGAAGCCAATACATAATGTTTGAAGACTTTGTCATCATTGGCCATAAACTAATTTTTATTCATAAACTGATTTTTTATTCATGTGTTCCTGATTACCAAAATAACATATATTCACCAGAAAAATTTAAATATACAAACGATTGCTAAAATATACAAACCATTCAAATATTAAAGTGAAACATGCATAACATTAGGACAATGATTCAAAATAAAGTAATTGAGAATCTCAGGATTTGACAGGCTTTGAAAGGACTTAACTTTAAGAAGTCTCTCTCTCTTTTTAAGGGTTAATTTGTAGGGTTTTAAGAGTTAATTTGCAGGGAAGGGGGGATCTCGCCTGATAGCCAGGTATATATAATAACTTTTTTATTTTTATTTGTTTATTTTTATTTTTATTTTTTCTTTGAGATGGAGTCTCGCTCTTTTGACCAGGCTGGAGTGCAATGGCGCTATCTCGGCTCACTGCAAGCTGCACCTCCCGGGTTCATGTCATTCTCCCGCCTCAGCCTCCCGAGTAACTAGGACTACAGGCGCCCACCATCACGCCTGGCTAATTTTTTGTATTTTTTTAGTAGAGACGGGGTTTCACCGTGTTAGCCAGGATGGTCTTGATCTCCTGACCTCGTGATCCGCCCGTCTTGGCCTCCCAAAGTGCTGGGATTACAGGTGTGAGCCACTGCGCCTGGCCTATAATAACTTTTAAGTTGTCCGTAAATGTCTCTTAGAAGAGAAATCTACTGACATCTCTGTATAAGAAGGTGAGAAAGTGCGTTGTTCCTTTAGGCATGAACTAAATTTATATAAATGCACAGGTAAGGGAGTGGCTTTAATGTTAGGCCAGAGTGGGAACCAGCTGGACCTGAAAGTATACGTCTAATCCCAACTATCTGCATTTTGAGATGAAGTATGTGGGTAGGGTTCCTGTTTTCAGGATCTTTTCTTTCTTCTCTAGTCATATTTCCTCCTCAAATCATGTCCCATGGAAGGATCCAGCCAGCTCAATAAAAGCTATCTGGTCCTGCTCTAACTGACACAGTGGAGATAGCACCAGACATCTCATCAAAGACCGTGGGAGTTATCTGGCTTTACCACTTAGTAACTGGGGAGCAGCTTAAACTCATGGTGTACCTCCACTTGCTCGTTTGTCTGTGAACGTAGTGCTACTGCCCTGTCTCTTTCATGGAGTCATCAGGAGACTATGATGAAGCCAAGAATATGAGAAAGCTTTGCAACCTCTTCCTGCAGCACATGCAGGTTAGAGGGTGAGGTGCTAATTCCTCACAGCTCGAATGTTTGCCTTGATTGGGAAGGATTGATCTGAGGTGGAGAAAAGTGCACTTTGAAGCCTAATGTCTTAAAAAGGAAACTAATGGCTCAGACAAATGCCAGATTTATTAATAAGCCATAAATAATGGAAAATGAACCTGACTTACTGAGTCAGCAGAGGGAAATTTGGGTTTCAGATCCTCCCTACTCCATCTCTCCTTGAAAGACAGAAAGGAAAGAAGGAAGGAATGAAAGAAGGAAGGAAGGGAAAAAGAAAAGAAAGAAGGAAGGATGGAAGGAAGGAATTGTACAGTGAAGAATAGCATAATTCAAAAGGAGAACATAACTTGGGGACAAAGGCCCTCAGTGAGAAAATATTTGTCCAGTTTCTCTTGCTAGGCTGAGCTTCTCTAAGGTGGGACTAGATCTTACTCATCTTTGTAGGCCCTACTCCTTGTAAAGCATGTGTCACATCCTAGAAACTATTTAAGATGAACCATATGGCATTGCCATTTTTGTAGATAAAAAATAGCCTAACATTGGCAATGCCATATGAGTCAACCTAATAAGTGTTAGCTAAAGATGCAAGAGACCTAAGGGTCATATTCATTTAGCCAGCCTTAACCCCTGTTCCCTCATAACACCTTCCCACCTCCAGCACCAGCTCAGAGAGGTGGGACTTCTCTTTCACTGCCTGTAAGAGTCATGCCTCTGTTTGAGGGCTGCCCTTGGTGTTCCTTGAACCTGAAATTTTCTGGATATTAAGTGTATTCTGTACCAGTCTCTCTCTCTTATGGGCTCCATACTGCTAAAGAAAGGGCATCATTAAGACCCACATTTAAATTCCCATTTCATCTGATAAACATAATAGGTTCCACTAAACAAAATGGGTGTCCTACACTAGGATATCAAACAGACTTTTTTCTTTGCCTTTTTCGTCTTCCCCTTCCCTTCTTCCTCTCCCTTCCCTTCTTCTCTCCTCTCATCTTCCTCTTTTTCTTTCTTCCTCTCTCCTTTCCTCTCTCCTCCCTTCCTTCCCTCCCCTCGCCTTCTCCCTCCCTTCCTTCCTTCCCTCCTTCCTTCCTTCCAAGACAGGGAAACATTTTTTCCTGTTCTGTGCATGAAGCCTGAAGGAAACCACAGGCTTTTAGGCTGGAGAGGAGACGCAGCTGAATGAATTGGGCAAGTGAAGCTCATATCTGGGTTCCTCAAAAGGACACCTGAGTCCTACATCCTCCCTACAGCTCTCATGATGCTAAGCATTGGACAGAGGCCATGTGGATTGGGATGTATGTGAATCTAGTGGATTTCAAGTTGAGGTCATGAACTTCCATTTCTCCTTCCATATATTTGCTTCTTTTGTTTAATTTTGTCTGAAAAATGAGGTTTGGCAGTGTTGGGCTCTGTGATAAAACTGCATAACATTTATTCTGTAAACAGCCATCTTTGCATCATATCATGTCATTGACATGAAGAGTAGTATTGCAAACACTGTTTTTTTATTATAATAACTCTATACAGAAGCCTTGAAAGGTATGATTTTGTAAAATATGTCTGGTCATTAGCTTCTCTTTGCTACAAAACAAGCAACAGGAGAGAAAGGGGCCTGGTGGAGGCAGAGGGACAACCGCATGGACACACTGGAAATCAGCTCAGTCAAAGGACAGGAATTTTTGTCTCCTTTGTTCCCTGCTGCATCCTAGGGCCTACAGCAGAGCTGGGAATGAAGTATGATGAGAGAACAGGTTAAACTTGACAGAATGACTATGACACTTGGATCTCTTGCATCTGTATCTTGAACTGATAAGATACCTATTAGGTAGGTTGAGAAACAGCTGTTGAAAGGATGAAGAGTCACTGCAATTCAACTATTAAGTAGATGTTCTCATAATTCCATAACTGATCAGCTCATGAGGCATCTATCCCCTCCAAGACTGTTTCCTCATTTCTGAAAAGGGGATTATTGTGCCTGTTTGGCAGGATTATTGAGAGGATTAAATGAAAAGTGATGTAAATGTTAGTGCCTTTTCTTTCTATGTGCTTCTAGTTTCCTTAAAATAATCTATGTGTATGTAAGAGTGTGTATGTGTGTGTGCATGTGCGTGTGCATGCATGTGTGTGCCTGCATGTGTGTGTGTGTGTGCGAATGTGTCTGTAGAGGGTGAGGGAGGCTAGAAGAAACAAGTTGTTTGGGTCATGTTGTTCAGGGTTTCTCAACCTGCCCACAATGCCACTTTAGGCTGGATAATTCTTTATTGTGAGGGGCTGTCCTATGCAGTAGATGTTTAGAAGAATCCCTGCCTTTTACCCACTAGATGCCAGTTACATCCCCCAGTTGTGACAACCAAACATGTCTCTAGATATTGCCAAATGTTCCCTGGGAGACAAAATTGTTCCCGGTTAAGAACAACTGCTGTTAGCTGTAATCACCCATTGAATAATTAAATATTTCACTGATAAACAAGTTGATCGGGTATTATGAAGACATCGTCTGCGGCTATATTATGTTTAAATGTATATAAAGTGAGGGCTTATAGAGGAAAAAGAAAAGCTGATATCAAATTACATAGTCAACCCACAATGATCCATGAAGCAAGTAATGATGTAGATAATAAAAAAAGTTATTTCAGGCACACAATTTCCCTGCATTAGATTGCTTTTCTAATTATGGTTGATTTAGGATACAAATATTAATAGTAATCAATTTCTTGAACACCCTCTGACAGATGACAGGGAAAGATGGCAAGTGTGCATGGAGAGAAATCATTTGAGTTTCTTAAATTTTTATGGACACTCATAAAGTAGGTACATTAACCACAGGTGATCAAACTGCATTGTCCATTAGCAAGCTTAAAAAGTAATAGCAATATTCATACTTACAAGTGAATTAATGACTTTAGTCCCCGGAAAGTATGTCTTGAAATTGACTTGATGTTGTTGTTTTCTATGAATCTGCAATAAGTTATAATATTTTTTGTCAAACAGTTACAGGAACTTGAGAGTACTTGTCCTGAATCATCATGTTTAAAAAAAGCTTTTTTACTTACAAATACTCTAGATGTGGAAGACCAATAAAAGCATCATCACTGATCACATCAAAGGAGTTCGATGTGAATAACCTGCCCAGAAAAAGTACACAATGAAAATGGTGAAACTGACAGATTGTCAATCTTGGCTGCTTTTATCTCTCAGAAAAATGAGTGGGAGTTGTATACAGAAAAATGTCTGCATGGCTGTCTGCTACAGTGTTAGTTATGCAGATAATCTATGCAGCATTTTTTTACTCCTAATCATCTCCTCATCAAAGGCTCATCAAGGGGTGCCTGGTGCCGCCCCACTCCTCACAATGACTGCCACCTGCCCTGGGTGATATTTTGAGATACAATCAGAGCAGCCAAAGCAACATTTTACATATTTTCATGACAAAGGCACTAATAATCTTTTCTACTTGTTCTAGAAACCTCTGGAGTGTTCTGACTGGCAAAAACAATGGTCCTTGGGGTTTTGAGACTGGGAAACCTAAAAAAATTAAGCTGCATGCCCAGTTGTGCTGTGATATCTCATAATAGACAGGCAGTTGACACTGGCTCCATGAACACCAACCAGCCTCCTCCTTTGCAAACAGACTGAAAATGGGAAACATGAGGTTTGGGAAGAGTCTCAGACCCATTTTATCACCGAATAGTTGAAGCTTTTACTTGGACAAATATATTTGCAATTTCAAAATCCACAAGGATTTGGTTTTGAAATTACTGATGAAAAAGAACATCAATCAGCCATCCCACACCCTGTTGAACTCCTTGGAGAACTGAATGAGAGGCTTAAAAGAGGTAGTTTTAGGCTAAACCGTACAACAATATATTATATTATGTCATAATGTAATAATAATAATAATAGTAATTCTGTTAGTAAAGCTTATCACTTTTACTTTGAAACCGGGGATTAAATATAACTACCACAAACTAGCTCACTGAATTCACCTCTGAGCCTGTGAACTAGAGGAATTAAAACTAGGAGATCTCACTTTCTGAACATTTATGAGTCATCTGTTTGTCATCTGGGATTGCTTCAAATAGTCAGAGGAGGGGGACAGCAAGGGGTTAGAGAAGAATTGGCATGAGTTGATAATTTTTGAAGCTGAAAGATGGATACATAAAAGTGAATTTTACTATTTTGTCTACATTTATATATACTTAAAATTTTTCATAAAAATGCGGAGAATGGGGGATAGGAATGAACCAACCAAACAAAAGGAGATGATTTCTTGCATTTCTTCCTAAACTATCAATCCTAGAGTGGTGTTGGATTGTCTTCTAATCCCTTATGCCTCTAATGTCATGGCTTTGTACCCAGATAATTCACTAGGTTCTGAAAAGCCAGCACTAATGCATAGTGATACATGTTAGAATTCCATATTACTAAAACAAATTCAAAGCTGTATGATTTCCATCACAGCTTTGGCAATTGTGTCTCTTCTCACTTCATGGTTCTGGAAATCAAGAAGATTCCTCAGCTTGACTCCAAGGTAAGCTAACATCCAAAGGCCTCCTTAGGATCCAGACTTTCATTGCATTCAGTGCAGGCAGCATCAGTGGTGGAGAGAATGGAATAAGGCAGAAATTGGTATATACAAATATTATACCTCTCACACTCACTGATTTGAAAAATGGCCCACGGACCATGCACTTCATAATCTCATACTCTAAATTGCCAGAAGAAATAGTTTCCATTGCTACTTCCCTTTATGTTAAATCAGATGCAGGACAGAGTGGGAAATGAGTATCAGTGGGCAGAACTTGCCCATGCATGTCACGGGAAGAAAAGAGAGGATTTCTGCTAGATTTTTTGTCTGCTTGCTCATTTCTTATCCCTAGCACCTGTGATACAGCACCTGACCTATAGTAGACAGTGAATAAATATTTGTTGAACAAAGAGGAATTCACTTTACATTAAATTCTGATCCTTACCAAATTACTGGATTAAATGTTTCTTACAGCAGGAATTTGCCTTTATTTGTTTTTGTGTCCCCATCCCCGAGCACAGTTCCTGGAGGAATAATGTTTGTTGAACTACATTTCAAGGACTAAAACCTCTGGTGAGAACTACAAATACATATGCAAAACTCTGGATGAATATTCGAGGAAAGGAGCCAAAACACAATAAAGTACATCCTATATGATTGTACTTATATAAAGTACAAAAGCTAATGTATGCTGCTAGAATCAGGAGAGTGGTTACCCTTGGAGGCAAGGAGCAATTGGAAGGGAACACAAGGGGCATCGTTTGGGGTAATGATAATACTGAATTTCTTGACCTGGGTGCTGTTTACAAGGTTATTCACTTTGTAAAAAGTCATTGAGATGTACATTTATAACATGTGCACTTTTTCTTTACATATATTATACTTCAATTTAAAAGTTTCTTATAAAAGCTAAAAAAAAACCCTCTGGCTAAGATAATAATGAATACCATAATCTCTCAATTCTAAATTCAATTGTAGTTTCTATGGAAAAAGATGTATAAAATTAGACATACATTCTAAAGATAGTTGAGTGGGCTATCCATTTTATTATCCTACGTATACTTAAAAGGACTCCTACATCATATTCTATACAGAGGATGAAACTCTGACCCTTAATTTGTATGGATTCTTCTAAATATGTTTGATTTCATTATTATAATTTGTTATTGAACCAGATACGTTAAAGTATTCCACAGTCTCTATTAAGGGAAACTGTGCCCAACCCACCCCACATACACAAAAAACAGAACTGGGGCAGACCACGGTGGCCATGTTTTACACTACACAACCTCTGTCCCTTTCCACAGAGTAGTCAGTCTCTAAATCAACCAGCATCCCATGGCCCAAGTAGCCTGGTTTAAAAAGGTGAGTTGGGCTAAGATGAGACCCTTGTTGGGGATCTGGAATTGGCCGACTGAGAAGTGCAGCCACCTGGTAGAGAAGCTAAAGGATAAAGGATGCCTTAGGGTTGAGTTGGATCCATGGTAGGCAAAAGTATGTGCAACGAATGCTTGGGAGAGTGCAGAATGGTCGTGGAGACCTCACCAAGGGAAGTTTTTGAAGACTGGTATGGGAGAGATACCTAGATCTGTGTTGGAACCTGAGCCAATGCTTCTGAATGCTGCTTGCTCTTGGAATCACCTGGACAGCATCAAAAATACTGATGCTTGGTTCCCACTCTCGGGGATTCTGGTAAAATTCTAAACCTGGGGTGTCACCTGGGTTACTGAAAAGCTCCCTAGGTGACTCATATGCAGCCAGGGTTGCACATGGTAAGCTTCCCAGGTCAGTCAAAACACTGTCCCCTTTACCTGTGGTGACCAAGGGGCCTCTGCTCCTTGCAGCAAGTCTGCCTGGAGCAGTTGCTGTGGGGCGTGGAGGAGCTGTGGACTTTCTTGTCCCTATAACTACATGTATCCTAATGTCTGCAATAATATGAGTTGGAAGTGACAACTATCCTCACAACAGCAGCAGCATCATGGAGGGGTTTGTGAAACCAATGTACCGTCCAAATGACCTCGTTACTCTGAGCCACAGATCAGTGATCTGGACCCTGCAGGCCTGCCAAGCAGTCAGCCCGTGGGTTTGTGCAGAGGTGGTACAGAATTTGCCCTCTGCCCCAGTTCCATGGGAACGTCTGAGGTTTCTCCTCTTTTTTTAGGGAAGCATTTTCCTAAGAAGCCAGGCATTTTCCCCTAGAATTTTGGTGGAGGTAGACACAGGGGTGTGCATGATCTGTCTATACCCTCCCCCAAGGGCTGTGCACTTATTAATTCAGTAAGAAAAGGGGCTGTGGGAGGAGAGGGGAGGATTTTTTCTTCAGCAACCACGGGAGTATGTTTCCTTACCAGAAGGGAGATTTAGAAAAATCATTTATATGAACTGTGAATTCCAGGCAGGTACTAGCTTATTCTTTGAATAATGATCTTTGCCTTCATAATAGCCTACATGTCATAGACTCCTGCCTGGATTATCTTATTTGGTCTTTAGAACAACTCTATGAAAGTAGTAAAGCAGGTAAGATCTATTTGACAGAAGAGGAAACTGAGGCCCAGAAGGCTACTAAACGCTTTCCTTGAGGTCACAAGGCCCAAGACCCCTGGTTCAGTACCCCTTTCCACACACTGGGTGACCTCTCAGCATAGGTCCCAGGTCACATAATGACATAATAACCATGTTCTGGCGAGCAGCCATAATACCACCACTCAGCTCATATGGATTTAAGAAAAGTAATTAAACAATAATGCCTTTCTCAGAGGAATTAATTAATCAGCGTAAGCAGTCTTAAAATCACATCCAGATCATATCAATCTGTGTTTTTCAAGTAGAAAGTTTAAAAATTTTGAACACACTTTGTGAGGTTTTTCCAGTTTTTTGTTTTTTTTTTTTTTTGACAAAGTCTCGCTCTGTCACCCAGGCTGGAGTGCAGTGGTGCGATCTCGGCTCACTGTAACCTCCGCCTCCCTGGCTCCAGCAATCCTCCCACCTCAACTTCCCAAGTAGCTGGGACCACAGGAGCACAACACCAAGCCTGGCTAATTTTTGTATTTTTTTTTTTTTTATAGAGACGGAGTTTTGCCATGTTGCCCAGGCTGGTCTTGAACTCCTAGGCTCAAGCAGTCCACCTGCCTCGGCTTCCCAAAGTGCTGAGATTACAGGCATTAGCCACCATACCCAGCCTTGAATACACTTTGGTGAATTCTGTTTATAAATAATATATGCTCATTGTAGAAATTCTGGAAAACACAGAAAAGCTTAAAGAAGAAAATGAAGTGCACCATAATCATACTACCCAAAGACACTGATATGCATATGCATAATACACATATGGTATATACACAAATGTATTTCTAAAATTGACATCATATTATATTATTGTGTGTCCTTTTCATTTGCTTATTATATCATGAACAATTTCTCATGACAATCAATTTTTCAAAAATACAGTTTCCATAGATTAGTAAGTTTTGTATTATGGATATATCATGATGTAACTTTTTCTTATTATTGATTCCAATGTTCACTATTATAAAAATGATTATAACCATCCTCATATATAAATATTTTTCCTATCTCTACTTGTTCCCTTATGATAGA